CAGCAAGTCTTTTTTCCAGAATAAAGACAAATGCCATTTCATGAAGAATCAAAGCTAAACAGTACCATCATGAATGGGAATGCAAGTAACTTGACTTTGGGCCATGTAATTCATTGAACTGAATTAAATTAGGATAGATCTATTTTTGTAGACGGATAATTAACCGATAAAGGATCTGTTTCGCTGTAGATCAGTGCCTTCAAACAGAGCAGCAAAAGAAAAAAAAATTCTTTAGCTATCACAAATGATTTACACCCCAAAATAATGTGCAGAAGTAATGCAATCCATCACTGGAAGAATGTAATGAAGAGGAAGAAACTCCTGCTCTTCAACTGCTGATCAAATACTATAAAAGGCAAATTGCCTCATTCTAAATAAGAAATTTAAATATCAACACTACTGCCAGAAGCTTCAAGCACTTTATATGCGACCTGAAATGTCTGAACATTAATCTTCCTTGCTCATGAGCCAACAGAGAAGCATCCATAAAAACAGTGGATGCTGCAAATCGGAAACAAAAACAGAAATCGCTGGAAAAATTCAGCAGGTTTGGCAGCATCTGTGGAGAGAAATCAGAGTTAATGTTTCGGGTCCAATGACCCTTCTTCAAAAAAGCATCCATCACTACTCTGAATTTATTGAAGTGGCTGCAGGAGAACCTTTTGAAGCATATTCGCTAGAGTTCAACACAGGAATTCCAGTAAAACTAGTCTTGCAGTCAACAGTAAGAGAGAACTGATTAGTGTATTTCTCATCGAGCACATTGAAGAAAAGGAGGATGTTGGACTGTTCCATCTCAAAAGCGAATTTGAGCGCAGGATAGAATATACAATGGTTTGTTAGGAAATCCTTCCAAGCAACTGCAGAATCAAGAATTGTGAATGAATCCTCTACCTATCAGAAATATGCCCACAGGCTTATTCCATCCAAAACGTTTCTTGTGGAAATCAACAAAAGTGACAGCAAGCACAAGATGTGGAGGAGATTACATGACTCCATCATTTATTTGGCTAAATATTGTTGTCATTAAAAAAACTGTCTTTGACAGTTGCAAAGTGTGTAAGTTCAATGAGTACAGATTCAGAAAATGATAGCGCTTCTGAATTGCCTGACATACCATTTAAGAAACTAACTATCGGATTCTCCAAAACTGCTTACTGCAAGTCTACCTTCAGCAACCTAAAGAGATTTACAAAGCCCCACACAAGACTAGCACAATCAAGAATCTGTTTATCTTGCAAGGTTAACCTAGAAATATGGCACATCCTTGAACTATGGTTCTCAATAGTACTGCGCAAACTTGCAGAAGGTCCAATCGTGGCCAATCTCAGGCCTAAAAAGTGTCTAGTCTACCTCAAATTACCCTGGGAAGATAAGTATCTCAAAAATTTAAGTAACGGGTTGAGGAAGCCATTTCACAGTTACAGTGCAGCATCTATGCAAGTATGGTCTCAAGAGTTTGGAATCTAGATATGATGCAAAAATTTACCAAGCGACTTGATAGAAGTATATAAAATTATGAGAGGCATTGACAGGGTGGATAGTCAGAGAACTTTTTTCCAGGGTGCGAATGCCAAATACTAGGTTTAAGGAGAGAGGGAAAAAGTTTAAAGGAGATGTGCGAGGAACGTTTTTTAACTCAGAGATTGATGCCTGGAATGCACTGCCCAGGGGGTGGTAGAAGCAGAGACAATAGTAATGTGTAACAGGCACTTAGACAGACATGAACAGGCAGGGAATAGAGGGATATGGACCACTTGCAGGCAGTTGGATTTAGTTTAGAATGGTATCATGGTTGGCGCAGATACAGTAAGCCAAATGGCCTGTTCCTGAGCTGTAGTATTTTATGTTCTATATATAGATCATAGAATCATAGAATCCTTACAATGTGGAAACAGGCCCTTCGGTCCAACAGTCCATACCGACCCTCAGAGCATCCCACCCAGACCCATCTCCCTATAACCCACCCAATCTACACATCCCTGAACACTACAGGCAATTTAGCATGGCCAATCCACCTAGCCTGCACATCTATGGGCTGTGGGAGGACACCGGAGCACCCAGAGGAAACCCACACAGTCACAGGGAGAATGTGCAAACTCCACACAGACAGTCACCCAAGGATGGAATCGAACCCAGGTCCCTGGCGCTGTGAGGCAGCAATGCTAACTGAACCACCGTACCGCTCAAATATTCAACTAGCATTGATATTTGAAAATTAAAGTGTTCCTTCTGTTAGGGAACATTAATGTAAAGGCTATGATGAGGGTAGGTAGAGAAAATATCAATAGATTTGTTTAAAAAGCATGAAATCTGCCAAATTGTCGATTTGAATAACTAAAAAAGATATAAAACAAACAAGTACTTAGAATTCAAACTTTAAAAATGCAAACTTTACCAATTCTATAGTTGTTATGGCTTGGAAATCAGTATTATGAATTTTGTTTTAAATGGCTAGATTAGCCTTACAATTGGAGAAAGAAGAACCAGAAATGTAAGTGAGACAGGTGACAGCCACATTGTCACCTCAATTATAAACTCAATTGTGAATGGCCCACAGAAAACCAAGGGATTCTCTGCAAATGAAAACTTCATCCAGCTTGGAAAGTATAATAGTTAACATACATTTTTGTTCTACTAACATTTTATATTACAGGTAAATAGTCGCAGCCGTGAACAAAACATTAGAAACAACCTACAGAAGGATTTTCTTTCAAAGTTCATTACACAACAATTTGACTTTTTGTAATTAAAACATTAATTTCCAGTGTGTTTAACTTGATATCCTTGTTTGAACCCCATCCGCATCAGCTCTTCCCCAACCCAGCATACATCAACCATCACCACAGTCACAGATATTATTATTTATGAAGACAGGCAATTACGATTGTTAGATTCAAAATATGTGAAACAAGGGCAAAATCACAAGCCCTTCATGTTCACAATACAGCTTTATAGGTCAGACTGAAGAACACAGAAAACTGATATAGATCAACTTATTTTTCAACAGTTTTCCTCTAATGCACTTGAGATGGTTATATGGCAATATTAACACTGAGACTAGGGGCAGGTTAATCAATCAGAACTGAACAGCATCTAAGGTCTTTGAAGATTGAACATGTTTGAACATCTACACCCACCACTTACATTTCTTTGTAAGGATACAACATGCTGGAATTACTGTTTGTAATTTTTAAATAAAATAAATGTATGGCCAAAATATATAGGACAACTTTATGTCACAAATCCTAATCCTCTCATATTTTCAAAACACAAGCAAATACATTTTATAAAAAAACTCCCTTGAGAAAATTTGTGTTGTCCACTTAACTTTCTTATCCATGAAAAAGAAAGTCAATAATTTGGAAACAATAACTAGACGAGTTGTGCGTGATTTCAAACATTCATTCTTCAATAAATAGGTTTTAGTATTGAGAAAAGCTACCACAGCTCTAAAGTTGGATTTCAGAGAAATGAAAATTTGTGTGCAACAAAGCATGCAGGAATATTATTATCAAAGTAATAGAAAATGCTTATTTAAATTCCTGGAACAATCACAACAAAGAATTCAAGGGAGTTGGATTTCCTATGCAGGACAAAAATTCCACTTACAATGATTTTAGAGGACTAGGGCAGATCTGTGGCAGATCATATGCCAAAATGGCCTAATTTCTTAACTTGTGCCAGAAGTTGAATTCTGATCATAAATATGCAAAAACCCAAAATACAATTAATACCAGTCTTAATAGAACTGATTTTTATAATAGGCATTATTTGCTCACAAAGTTTTTTTTCTTGAAGCAATAAGAACAGCTGTAATTAATTAATTTCTGTGATCATTTTAGTGCAATGAACTGTTTCGTAGTGTCATAGTAGGTTGAAACTAAACTTAAATTGGATTTGGCCAAAAACAATAAGCACTTTTCACATGTTTTAAAATAGTATTTGATGATTAGAATTGTCTTTGTATTATTGATAGTTATAGAGGATGTTGTGTACATGAGAAAGTGCTTGTAATTCAATGGTGGATATACTTGCATAATAGCAGAGCATGATACAAAAGCAATACAGTATTTAAAAAGGTCCAAATTTCTGACACTAAACTAAAATGGATAAGATATGCTTTTAGAGAACAAATTCAGATCTGGGCAAACTCTTAAGGAATATGGAAGATTACAAATAAAGAAAAAAATGCAGTCTGTATTTTGCAACTGATTATTGAAGGATTGGATCCTATGTGCCAGTGCTGAAATTTGTTTTCTTCATTATGGACCAGGTTTCCAATAACAATTAGTTGAGATAGGAGACATATGTAAGTACTCATTTGCAAGAATCTATTGCTGTTAATGTCTTAAAATACTGAACATTAAGTAAGTGAGAGTAGATTAGCACGAGAAAAAAAATACTGATCTAGCATTTGAAAATAGGAATTATTCAAATTGCCATTAGATACTGCAATAGAGGACCAGGAGTTCATGTAGAAGAATACTTTGGAGCAATGTATGGCCTTTCTCATTGGTAATTATTTTTGTGATTACAAAGTAGATAAAATTTCACTGCTTTGATCTGATCCATTGGAGGGATAATGCTGTGAGCTATTTGGATTTCCTAGGATTCACAAAATGGTAACATAGATAACATCATACTTCTGATACTTATAATGATGTCACTGACTTTTCTTCGCAGAATTCAAAGAACAGCCAATTTCTTTTACAAAAGACACAATTTCGACTTTGTTGAATTACTTTACTTAATTCAACTGTTTTATTTTGGTGGTAGTAAACAGCTGTAGTGCATTAATATATTCTGCTTGCCTACCTCTGACTGGAATAACATGAATTAGACTACAATATTCAATACAATTGGTATCAATAAATTGCATTGATGTGCAGAAAAGGTAGTTTCACACTTGTTGCCGTTAATGAGGTAAACCCATTGGTGCTCGCTGTACAATAGGGAAGTTAAAAGCAGAAATGCAAATGTGCATTCAGATAACATACCTTTCTTTGCCTTCTTCTGAAGCTTCAATGTATCAGACGATTTCTTTTTGATTTCTTGTCGAGCTTTCTTATATTCTTAAAGCAAAGAAAACATCTGTCAAGATCTAGATTATTATCAGTTGCATCTCCTACTACAGATTTCTGTATTTCTCTCCTCTTTGTGGGAAGCTAGGGAAGTGATTGCTGGTCCCCTTGCTGAGATGTTTGTATCATCAAAAGCCATAGTAAGGTGCCAGAAGACCGGAAAGTGTTTAAAGTTTGAGAAGTCACGGAGGACAACTGAACAGAATGGATGCAGAATGATAAGGGTTATGATCAATGATGCTCACAACCGCCTCCATAAATACAAGCGGGAAATTGCGCGCCAAAAATCTCTGTATTCTGACACAACCAACCGGGAATGGACATCCACACTGAAACAAGCTATCAGCATACAACAACAAAAGACCTGAACAAAGAAAAGAATAGCCCTACAAGAAAACCTGTTCAAAATCACTCGCAACAATGACATGGACAACACAGATTCATGGAATAAAAACATCTCGGACCAACCACTTACAGACACTGAGAAGACCGTCCTCGTATGCAGACTGAATTATAACTACAGAGATGCCAAAAACAGTGACTTCCTGGCTGCGCTGAAATCAACACTAAAGAGCAACTGACTCACAGAAGTACAACAGAGCATCAGACAGACGATAGTCCCAGCACTGAGCAAAAAAAGGCAAGTGGAACACATTCAACACAGAAGAGAGGAAAGCCCTGGAAAGATTCAAGATAGACAGGAACATTGTAATCTTATCCACGGATAAAGGCGCATGACAGTAATCCTCAATAGACCCCAATACATCAAGAAAGCTAACGCACTACTAGCTAACGCACTACTAGCGGATACTGACACCTACCAACAGATGGTGATAGACCCAACACCACAGTTAGGGAACCAGATTACAACAACCCTGAAGAAATTACACAACTCAGGAGATATCAGGAAGACAGACTACCAAAAAAATGAAGCCAGAGGGATCCAACACACCCCGCTTCTATGGACTCACTGAGGTACACAAACTGGGGGTCCCTCTCAGACCCATTGTCTCACTACCAGGCACACCAAAGAACTATAACAGAACTTGAAATACTTAGTTGACAACACAACCCACTCCATCCATTCCTCCCAAGAATTCCTCAACATCATCAATGACACCAGGACAGAAGAGGAAGAGATGACGATACCCTTTGATGCAACAACACTATTTACATCCGTAAACATCGACCTAGCCAAAGAGACAATTGCCACACTACTAGACGAATCAAGTAGGCAGGCACTCCAGGACAACAACAACATCAATAAGGACACCACCATGAAACTACTAGACCTGTGCCTCACAACCCACTTCACCTTCAATGACGGCATATACAGACCGGAAGGTGGCTAATATGGTGCAATTATTTAAGAAAGATGGTAAGGAAAAGCCAGGGAACTATAGACTGGTGAGCCTTATGTCAGTAGTGGGCAAGTTATTGGAGGGGGTTCTGAGGGACAGGATTTCCACGTATTGGGAAAGGCAAGGACTGATTAGGGATAGTAAACATGGCTTTGTGTGTGCTAAGTTGTGTCTCACTAATTTGATTGAATTTTTTGCACAAATTGATGAATAAGATTGATGAAGGCAGAATGGAGGATATTGTCTATACGGATTTCAGCAAGTCCTTCAACAAGGTTCTGCATGGTATACTGGTTAGCAAGGTTAGATCACGTGGAATCTGGGGTGAGCTAACCATTTGGATACAAAATTAGCTTGAAGGTAGGAGACAGGGTGGTGGTGAAGGGTTGTTTTTCAGACTGGAGGCCTGTGACCAGCTGTGTGCCTCAAGGATTGGTGCTGAGTATGCTGGTTTTTGTCATTTATATAAATTATTTGGACGTGAAGGCAGGAGGTCAGATTAATAAGTTTGCAAATGACACCAAAATTGGTGGTGTAGTGGACAGTGGAGAAAGTTATCTGAGTACAATGGGACCTCGATTAGATGGAGTTTAATTTAGATAAATGTAAAGTGTTGCATTTTAGTATGGCAAATCAGGGCAAGACTTAAACACTTAATGGTAAAGTCCTGGGGAGTGTTGCCGACCAAAGAGACCATTGGGTGCAGGTAGAGAGGGTAATGAAGAGAGTGTTTGTTATGCTTGCCTTTATTGGTCAATGCATTGAGTACATAAGACACAAGAACATAAGAACTAGGAGCAGGAGTAGGCCATCTGGCCCCTCGAGCCTGCCCCACCATTCAGTAAGATCATGGCTGATCTTTTAGAGACTCAGCTCCACTTAGCCGCCCGCTCACCATAACCCTTAATTCCTTTACTGTTCAAAAGTTTATCTAGCCTTGCCTTAAAAACATTCAGTGAGGTAGCTTCAACCGCTTCACTGGGCAGGGAATTCCTCAGATTCACAACCCTTTGGGTGAAGAAGTTCCTCCAGACCTCAGTCCTACATCTGCTTCCCTTTATTTTGAGGCTATGTCCCCTAGTCCTAGTTTCACCTGCTGGTGGAAACAACCTCCCTGTCTCCACCTTATCTATTCCCTTCATAATCTTCTATGTTTCTATAAGATCTCCCCTCATTCTTCTGAATTCCAATGAGTATAATCCCAGCCTACTCAGTCTCTCCTCATAATCCAATCCTCTCAACTCTGGAATCAAACGAGTGAATCTCCTCTGCACCCCCTCCAGTGCTAGTATATCCCTTCTCAAGTAAGGAGACCAAAACTGCACACAGTACGTCAGGTGTGGCCTCACCAGGACCCTATACAGCTGCAGCATAGCCTCCTTGTTTTTAAACTCCATCCCTCTAGCAATGACAGACAAAATTCCATTTGCCTTTTTAATTACCTGCTGCACCTGCAATCCTACTTCTGGCGATTCATGCACAAGGACACCCAAGTCCCTCTGCACAGCAGCATGCTGCAGTTTTTTACCATTTAAAACATAGTCCATTTTGCTGTTATTTCTACCAAAATGGATGACCTCACACTTATCAACATTGTACTCCATCTGCCAGACCTTTGCCCACTCACTCAGACTATCTATATCCCTCTGCAGACTTTCAGTATCTTCTGCACACTTTGCTCTACCACTCATCTTAGTGCCATCTGCAAATTTTGACATATCACACTTAGTCCCCAACTCCAAATCATCTATGTAAATTGTAAACAATTGCAGTTCCATCACTGATCCCTGAGGCACACCACTTGCCACTGACCGCCAACCAGAAAAACACCTATTTACCCCTACTCTTTGCTTTCTACTAGTCAACCAATCCTCTATCCATGCCAATACATTACCTGTAATACCGTGCAACTTTATCTTATGTAACAGCCTTTGGTGTGGCACCTTGTCAAATGCCTTCTGGAAATCCAGATACACCACATCCACAGGTTCCCCATTGTCCACCATGCAAGTAATGTCCTCAAAGAATTCCACCGAATTAGTTAAACATGACCTACCCTTCATGAACCCATGTTGGGTGTTCCCAATGGGACAATTTATATCCAGATGTCTTGCTATTTCTTCCTTAATGATAGATTCAAGCATTTTTCCCACTGCCGAAGTTAAGCTAACTGGCCTATAGTTACCTGCTTTTTGTCTACTTCCTTTTTTAAACAGTGGCATCACATTGGCTGAGTAAAGGAGTTGGAAGGTCATGTTGTGGCTGTACATAACATAGTTAGGCCATTTTTTGAATAATGCATTAAATTCTGGTCTCTCTGCTATAGGAAGGATGTTGTTAAACTTGAGAGGGTGCAGAAAAGATTTACAAGGACGTTGCCAGGTTTGGAGGGTTTGAGCTGTAGGGAGAGGCTGAATAGGCTGGGGCTGTATTCCCCAGAGCGTTGGAGGCTGAGGGGTGATCTTATAGAGGTTTATACAATCATGGGGGAATGGATAGGGTGAATAGCCAAGGTCTTTTTCCCAAGATAGGGGAATCCAAACTGGAAAGCACAGGTTTAAGATGAGAGGAGAAAGATATAAAAGGGACCTAAGGGGCAATGTTTTCAGACAGAGGGTAGTGTGAGAATGGAGTGAGCTGCCAGTAGAAGTGGTGGAGGCTGGTAAAATTACCAACATTTAAAAGGCATCTGGATGGGTAAATAAGGAAGTGTTTAGAGGGATTCAGGCCAAATGCTGGCAAATGGGACTAGATTAATTTAGCATACCTGGTTGGCATGGATGACTTGGCCGAAGGGTCTGTTTCCATGCTGTACAACTCTGTGACTCTACTATAATGCCCCTACTACAGAGATTTCTGTACTTCTCTCCTACTATACTGCAAGTTAGAAACAGTGCACTCTGATGTTTAGTAAGTTTGAAAAGTATTTAGGATTACTACCAATTCTACTCATCTTTCGGGTACATGAAATTAAATGCAATAGCTTTCTAGCTAACTAGGATTACTTCGATCTAAAAGCACTAGCAAAAATTCATATTTATACAGAGACATTATAACAATATAAACACATTCCAAGTACTTCACAGCTGCATTACCAAAGAAAATACGGCACCAAGCAACAGAGCCAACATGAAGTCCAACGTCCAAAAGCTTAGAGCAAGAGGAGGTTTGGAGGGGTGTCTCAACAGGAGAAAAATGACGTATAGAGATGGAAAACTGAAGGGTGGACCATGTCAATTGATCTTCCTGACCCATCTACAAATTTCACCAAAACAACACATTAAGGTAATCGAGGTGATCAATCTATAGCATGCAACTTTTGGTTAACATGAAATAAGGGCTGGCTCACAAAGGGAATTAATCATTCTTTTAGCTTATTATGATGAAAGCAAGATTAGAATCTATCTAAAGAAATACACCATTTCGCATTTGTTTGATTGGAGGCATTTTCAGGATTTTGCAAGTAGAAGTCCTTGGTTCAGTGTACCTTTTGCATGATCCTTGTCCAGCTGGTTGGCCACTTTTTTCCATTCTTCCATTTGATCCTGAAGTGGATTTATCAGGCAATCGATCAGAGCTCTAAATTAACCAAATAATGTTAAGATCAGTAGAGACAATTTATTTTGAATGTAGAAAGATACCTGCACAATGCAAGTGGATTTAAATGGAAGTTATTTAACGTGAATGCTGACATATGCTAATTTACGTTTCCAAAATTAATTTTAACTTGCAGCATAAAAAGGTGCACTCAATATGATTAGCAAAAATTTCCTTTGGATGTTTTAATGTCCTGCTTATATAACAGTTCTCCAAACAAAGCCGCTAATTAATGAAGGGTGAAGTAACTCAATTCAGTGCCTAAACAGAAATTGAAAAGTATAATCTGATGTCATTTGGCAAACTGAAAATAAATAAATGTGGAAAATGAAGTGGGTCAGCTGAAAAAGCTGAAAAATAGGCCCCAAAATAAATGCCTGTCTAATTTAGCCAGATCATCTTCAAGACTATAATCAGTCTAAGCAGATGTTGAACTAATTAAAACAAATAATCCATAAATAACTATGGAATACAATGCCTTCTTTGTTAAACATTTACAAGAGCAAAATAACTTACACTGAGAATTGACGAAGTTTAGACTCTATACTTCTGTGCCTCATACACATTCTGGTTAATGCTGAACCAATTTCTCTTGTTGCACCTAATGAGGGAGGAAAAGGCTATCATTAAAAAATCTTCACAGCTATCCAGTCACTTTAATAGCTGTACCAAACTTTCCAAGTTTAACTTTCAAAATATCTATCTTCAGGACAAACTCAAAACAGAATTACAGATTGTTCAACATCACATTTTTCATAAATACACTCCAGTTTTACCTTTCCAAAACAAAATCCAGTTTACTCGTTGTAACTAAAAGCCAATTTAAAATTTAGTTCAGTTGCTTACTTAGGTTTCTTTTCATGGAAAACAATTTTAAAATCAACAAGCTCTAAAACGAAAATGAAGTGTAAGGAGCATCAACACACACGAGAAAACAACAAGGGATGCCTCTTTCATATAATGTTAAAATATTCTTTATTTACAATTAAACATAAATTAAAGATAATAACCAAAGGCCAAAATACGTTAAATTTGCTTGTAACATTTTGGGTCTCTTTTCATTTATGTATTGTCCTGCTTAAATGTGTAGCCAAAACATTTCTCAGCACAATAGGCTCCCCATATACTAATTTCTATTGCTTTCATCAGAAATTCTCCAATACATAACAAGATTGTGTGGTGAATAAAAAAGCAACATCCGAAGAAGTGGCTTTCACTATTATTGGCCCTTCTTTTTGGTTGCTATGAAATACACAAATCGATAAATTCCAGGAACCAGTGCTGGCACAGATCTTCTGCTTCATGAAATCATTTTTTTCCATAAATATAAATGCACCAAGGACAATTCACTAATTGATATACTGAGGACATTATTAATATTGCATTTACACTGCAGCTGCTCGACTTGAACTGCATGGTTACATGCATGTGCACCACTGAACTCAAAGCAAGTAAAACTTAACTTCAGCAGGCAACAATAAGTGTCACCGTCAGCGACTGAAACCAAGACAACTGAAAATTTAACAGACGAGAATGATAAACATTTTGCTAGATAAGCGAGCTAAGATGCGTACCAGCCATAATCATCTGAAAATGCTCAATCTTGTCTGATCCCAGAAGTTAAGCAGACTCAGGCTTGGTTAGCACTTGGATGAGAGACTGCCTGCTCTTGTTGCACACTGGTAGAGTCCTTACCTCTGAGCCAGGAGGCCCAGATTCAAGTACCAACTGCTTCAGACATGTGTCATAACCTCTCTGAACAGGAAGCCTGATTTCAAGTTTCACCTTCTCCAGAGATTAGTAATAACATCTCAAAACAGGTTAATTAGAAAATATCTAGCAGACCTCAGGACACGGAATCAAGATAGATAAATAGACTCAAGATACGGATCAGATTATGATTTATTCAAATGAACAGGCTTGAGAGGCTGCGTGATCTACTCTGAATCCAATGTTTCTAAAATCTCAAAGAATACTAAATAGGTTTTAAAAATGTTCATGAGGTAAAAGGCACCCTGGCCATCTTTTAACCTAATTAAACATTGTATAAACTCAAATGTTGTGTGAAATCCAAGCCATTATGAGCCTTGTATCTCCAATGAATTTTATACGGTGGACTCACGACTTGGTTACACAGTCTGTGGTACAAACATGCCCTTTTGGTTTGGGAAACCCCACTGAATACTATTTCACTCAATTACTGTCAGTTAGTAAGAACTGTTCTGTTAAATATTCAGATGCAAAATAGCTTTTTGACAAAATCCTAGCTGTTTTCACTAAGCAATCTGAAGTTCAATGTCATCTTGACCACACCGCAATAACTTGAACTCTTCCTCTGGTTGGTTATTCAGTTACAAAGAGCAGACAAGCACGTTTAATCTAGTCCTTGTCCACAAATTCCCAGAACAATTTCTGACATCAAAAATCAGGTCTAAAGGACAAATGAAGGACCCCATTTTGCTCTAGCTGAGATTCACTAACTTACTGCAGTGAGATTGAACCACAGAGATCTTTCAATTGAGATGGCTTAGTACCACAGAATGCATTTACACAATATACCATCAATAAAGTGAACATACACACAGAAGGAAAATGTGTACTTCCTTACCGATCAGGCATAGCACAAGTTGAATGAGTTCCGCACAGTATAGCCAACAGATGGTGCTATATTTACTAATAACACCAATCCACCTAACTTTACCATTTCAGTTCACAGACTATTCATTTCTTTTATAAATTACAAGTCTTCTTATCTGGCTGCTGTATTCAATGATTTCTGTTGAAGATGATCTGGAGTTAAAGTAACAGCAACTCAATCCATAAAACACCAACAAAAACATAGTTATAAAACTTCAGTGTGATGTCTGTCAAAGAACTCTAAACAGCATTCACAAAGAGAGCATCTGTCTTTTGTGTGCTTTCCAGCTCTGGAAATACTGCCTCATAAAGGCTAAAAATCAAAACAAACACCTGGAATGTACTTATATTATAACAGAATTAGGACGAAGCCTAAGCAGTTGTTACTACCTTTTAAATAAAAAACAAATTCTAGATAGCAAGATGCAGGGCTGGATGAACACAGCAGGCCAAGCAGCATCATAGGAGCAGAGAGGCTGACGTTTCGGGCCTAGACCCTTCATCAGAAATTTTCCACTAATCTGCTTTTACAACACCATTCTTCAATATTGCTTATCAAAATTTTGTACTGCTTACTGTCAAACAGTGGACATCTTTTCCATATCTTGACTGGAACAATATCCTTAAAGCAATTAAAAGGTAACTAATAATAAAAAAAAGAGGTTTGTCAAACTGAAATAACCAAAAAAATCTGAGCGAAGGACACTGTCAAGAAAGGGCAGAAATAATTTAACACCTTAACAGACAGAGATAAACTTGTGAAATGACATAATATTTTATTGATTGTAATTTATTTGTCCATGTATTCATTTATGGCTGTTGGCATTGTAGCCAAGGCTAGTGTTGCCTATCCCAAACTGTTCTTGAAACAGTGATAAACTGTCTTCTTAATCTGATGCAATTTGAGTTGTGTAGGTATGATTTTTCCATTATTTCTGCTGGGAAAATCTATGGGACAGCTTTCCAAATTTTGACACAAATTCTCAGATCTTCGTGGGAAGGACTTTGCGGGTTTCTGGATCAACAGTGCCTTTATGACGTCTGTTGCTTCAGATGTTGTTGAGTGTCTTGGCTGGTTAACTTCTCCCACTAGCTGATGATACAACAGCCAGGACTAAGACTTAAGGCTTTGAGAAAGAGAGGCAGAAGGAATGAGAGGAAGAACATTTTTTTAAAAGCACAAGATAGGGTGGACAGTGGGAGCCTTTTTCCTCGGATGGTGATGGCTAGCACGAGGGGACATAGCTTTAAATTGAGAGGTGATAGATATAGGACAGATGTCAGAGGTAGGTTCTTTACTCAGAGAGTAGTAAGGGCGTGGAATGCCCTGCCTGCAAAAGTAGTAGACTTGCCAACTTTAAGGGCATTTAAATGGTCATTGGATAAACATACGGATGATAATGGAATAGTTTAGGTTAGATGGGCTTCAGATTGGTTTCACAGGTCGGCGCAACATCGAGGGCCGAAGGGCCTGTACTGCGCTGTAATGTTCTATGTTCTATGTTCTACAAGAGGTGATAATGCCAGTAACAACTTGTAGCCTGTTTTGCACGAGATGAAGGTAATTCAAAAGGTAAACAAACTTACATGATTACAAGGATTGAGTGGAAGGGGTCAAACTAACTGGATCCCTCCACAGGGAGCCAGTATGGACTTGTTGGGCTAAATGGCTCTTCTGTGCCAAAAATGACATCATTTGATTTTAATCCTTGCAAGGCCAATATTTAGTGTGCATCCCTGGGTGCCTCAAGGACATAACAGAACATAAAAAATGAGCTAAACTTGAGTTTTTTTTAGAAACAAAGGTTTCCATTACTGTTTCTCAATTTTCATCTCCAAATATGGAACCTATAAAGAAAATCTACAAAATATGTTCATAATAAAACAGCTAATTCTAAAAAAAAAGTACTACACACAGCCAGCAGATTTCTTCATTGATTAAAGACATGAATGCATTAACTTTAATGGAGGAACCACAGAACAAAAGGTTACATTGATTCCACGGTAAATTAGAATATTCTGTTGGAAGATAAAAATACTTGACGACAAAATATATGAAAGTGTTGAGGCTAAAATCCTTTGCCAGACATGATGAAAAACAATTTAAAACAGGTTGATGCTTTGCATAAGGAAACAGGCATCAGCGACTGACTGGCGAGAGCAGGCAGCAGAATGGTGAAAAAAGATGGCAGCGCGGGCCCAGCAAATAGCAAGGCTGAGTAAACGTTGAAGGAGGCAGTGCCTGGCTGCAGCAATGCCAGGACGACACAGATGGGGCTCCACCCAAGCCTGAGGTCTCCCGGCAAGTGAGGAGCAGGTCCCGGGCTTAATCCACTGGTCCAGACTTGTAGTCTGAGCTGATGCTACGCCTGGGCACCTGATGGCAGAGGCAGCAAGTTGAGTCTCAGCGCAGGCCCCTGCTGCATCAGTGGCGACCGCATCGACCAGGTCGACCCAGCGCGAAATCACTGCGGCAGTGGCATTGTGTGGAGTGACATAATACCGGACAGTGGCGACTCTTTTTACCATTGGCAGCAGCACAGTGAAGGACGGTTTAACAGCATGGACTCGCGGCACTGGGGTGGAGGAGCCTGTATGCAGGCCCATGGCTGAGCTAGAAGAGGAACTGTTCCAAAGACCACCTAACTTTATTGAGATAAGGCTATAAGATGAACTTCACTGTTTTATTGTTATGGCTTTATATTCTGTATGTTGGTCTATTTTCTCTGTTTTAAGGTGAGAGTGGCGACATTAAACAACATTTTTCACTGTATTTGTAATAAATACCTGCGACAATAAATAAATCAAAATCAACTCAAAGAAGCACTTTCTAAGAAGACTGTATACAAACAGAATTCTATTTTAGTTTTCTCATTTCCACAAGTGAATAAGGTGCCACACAAAAAGGATAATGCACAAGGTAAAATCACATGAGTTGGGTAATTTATTAGCTTGTCAGGATAA